AAAAAAAAGTTATAACTATTAAAAAAGAAATGTTCTATATATTTTTAAAAGGATGATTTTGTATATCACATTGCTATGACATTTAGATATATTTGCATACATTTATAAATGACATGACAGTTTTATTTAAAATGTCAATACTTGTAATTTGCTGGAAATTATACTTTGCAAGATCTAAATGTATGAAGAAAATATGTAGATAGTAACATAGAAAGATGCAAAAGATTTCAGTTTTTCAAGTCTTCAAAGCCACAGTTTCCAAACTGGGCTCGGAGGTACCCTGTGCCTCTGCAGTGAGCTCACAGAGGCACACACAGGGAATTTTTGAACTTTCTGAAGAAAATACAGCAACATCTGTTGGATACTGGATGGACTACTAACTCTAAACAGGTCACTATTTCAACATTAGATCACCCTACAATCCTTTGATAATGTATTATTACAAAGCTAGTTTTTCAATGGTGGCTACGACAAAAGCAAATACCATAAGAAAACCAGTAACAGGAAATAAGGGTGTAAGTGTCTAATCTGATTCCAAGGCTTGAGAAGTTGTGCAGTGTTCAACAGATGCACATCCCATTTGTAAGTATAGTAAGTATAAAGATTGAAATAAAAATATTTTCTCTTTTAGGGGCGCCTGGGTGGCGCAGTCGGTTGGGCGTCCGACTTCAGCCAGGTCACGATCTCGCGGTCTGGGAGTTCGAGCCCCACGTCGGGCTCTGGGCTGATGGCTCAGAGCCTGGAGCCTGTTTCCGATTCTGTGTCTCCCTCTCTCTCTGCCCCTCCCCCGTTCATGCTCTGTCTCTCTCTGTCCCAAAAATAAATAAACGTTGAAAAAAAATTTAAAAAAAAAAATATTTTCTCTTTTAATGCATTTTTGAAATAGCTACAATTTTTTTAATTAATTTTATTTTAGAGAGAGTGCACAAGTGGGGGAGAGAATCCCACAATCCCAGGATCATGACCTGAGCCAAAATCAAGCAAAAACCGACTGAGCCACCCAGGCACTCCAAAATAGCTACAAAATTTTTAACATAAAAACTTTTTGAGTTGTTTAGACCATTAAATTACTCAATAAACTGAACTGTTACGCATTTCTTTTGCTCAGTTTTTTTGTTTTTTGTTTTGTTTTTAAATAAACTCTACCCCAATGTGGGGCTCGAACATACAACCCCAGAATCAAGAGTCGCATGCCCTACTGACTGAACCAGCTGGGTGCCCCTTCAAGTATTTCTTTTGGTCTAGAGCAAAAAACAAAGTACTGAGACAACATAAGGTGCCATGAACTGAAAAAGGTTGACAACCTCTGCTTTAAGAGTATGGGAGCAAAAAAAGAAAAAAAAAAAAAAAAAAAAAAAAAAAGTCTGATGACTTCAAGCCTAGGAACTCTCTTTTAGTTATACTTGGGATTGCCAGCAGGTGGTGCTACCAAGATTGAGTTTCCAAGATCTGAAATACTCCAGAGTAAGGGAGTGTTCCTGGACCAGACAAGATATTTTAACACAAAATGGGAACTTCAGATCACTTATTCCAATAGTTTTCAAACTTTTAGAAAAAGTGACAGAATCTCCGTTTAAACAAAATCTTAAAATAAAGGCAGCACCATTTCTTAAGTGGGCTAGGAGATTATGAAGCCCTACAAATGACACTTAAGCCCAGAAGAGGTAGGCAACCTGGAGAACTCCGCAGCTGTAGGGTATACCTTAAGAAAACCACTCATCTATATCAATCTCCACTTCACAGAGTAAACCAAGTCACATAAAGGTCTGATATCACAGGGGCAATTAGTGGCAGAGTTGGTCTAGGATCTAATTCTCTCAACAGAACTGAAAAGGTAGACCAAATCTTCATCCCACTGATTTTAAAGCCAGAAGGATTACCACTCACTGTGGGACCTTGCACAAATCACTTTATATTGGGGACTCTGGTTTCCTTATCTATAAAATGGCTTTTTTTTAGAGTATCCTTTTATTTTTATTTTTTTGAGAGAGAGAGTAAGCACATGAGTGGACAGAAGCACATGAAGGACAGAGGGAAAGACAGAATCCCAAGCAGGCTCCACACCCAGTGCAGAGTGCAACACGGAGTTCAATCCCATGATCCTGGGATCATAACCTGAGTCAACAAGAGTTAGAAGCTCAACTGACTGAGCCACCCAGGTGTCCTGGTTTCCTTAAAACAGAGAATATTTACCGTAAAACCTTGGATTGCAAGTAACTTGTTCTGTGAATGTTCTGCAAGATGAACAAACATTTCTAATAAATTTTAACTTGATAAATGAGCAATGTCTTACAATACAAGTTGTATGTGACGCCAAATGTCACATGATCACAACTGAGCCAATGGTTCTTCTCTCTCTCTCTTTCTGCGGGACTGTGGGTGATCATCTCTATGCTTGAATGCTCAGTCTTAGGCCACGGTGTTTGGCAGAAATCAGTGATTTTTCAGAACCTTGGAAGATGCCCACAACAGGCACTAGTGCATTTTTTGTCACTTCAAAGCACCTATGGACAGTCCTTTGCTCTTGTATGGACAGTCCACACAAGAGTAAACTTAGGAATGCTTTGCTTCGTTCTAGGTCAGGCTGCCTGCAGGTATACAGACCTTTCCCTCTGCTGCCTTATTGCCAGTTACATTAAATACAGCATATGATAAGAGTTTATTAATATTGCACTGGAGTCAACATCCGTGTGACCATATACTATGGCCGCCATGTAGAAAAAGATTCCACTGAGCCAACAGATAGCAGTGATTCTGTTAGTGAAAGTCGCCCTACACAATAACCCAACTCTCTCTTGTCTCCCTCACACCAGCCATGAAGGTTTTCAAAGGTAAGTGCAGGTCAATTTATTTTTCTTTATACTTTTTATTATAGTAATCATTTTTAGTAATAATTTTCATATGAATATTTTTGAGTTGTAGAACGAATCATCTGAGTTTCCATTATTTCTTATGCAGAAATTCACATTGATATTCAAGAGCTTTGGATTACAAGCATGTTTCCAGAATGAATTATGCTCGCAAACCAAGGTTTTACTATATTTCATGGGGTTGTTGTAAAGATTAAATGAGATAATAGAATGAGAAACTATTCAGTAAACTGTAAGAAGATATAGAATTATTGTATTCTGCTTGGGTCTGGATCAAAGGAACAAATGCTACAGTAGCAAGAAATAGTAGAGAAAGGATAAAGATTTGGGAGCAAATGGGTTTTTGAGTATTGTGACCTCTAATTAAATGAATTTCTGATTCACTGTCAAGTACTTTAGGCCAATAATTTGTCCCTTGGGGGAGGGAGTACAGATTTTTTTGGTGATCTTCTAAGTGACATTCTTTATTAACTTCGTCATTTCCCATTCTTGATATCCCTCACCTTGCAAAGCCAACCCCTCTGCTGGTCCCACTGGTATCTCGAAGGATTCGAGTAGAGATAACCTGGCCAAAGGGCTTCAGCATCCCCTCCAGTTCTTGTTCATCCATTGATAATGGAAGGTTTGATATGTATAAATTTGTGGGATCCTGCTCCTGTTGCTATGGGGAAAAAAGTGAGAAAATGAAGCTCACATCTCTTATCCCTCTCCCACCCTAAGCCCTCATCACAATACGACATCTCAGAAAAGAGACAGTAGGAAGGGGCCCACATAAACAAAGAGTATCTTAACTATTCATAACACCTAGTCTCACTACCATGGATTGTATGTTGAGTCGAGGGAAAAAAAAAAAAAAGCAGATTCAGTATTCCAGTACTTTACACACCCATAATAGAAGTCATCGGTGATGTTTTGGCTGTCTCTTTAAGAACTAGGCAGAGCAGCTACTCCTCCCTCCCCAGCACTGGATTCCCTTGGCCAGCACTGCTTCCCGGCTGGCCTGTTTTAAGCAATCCTCCTCCCTCCTCTTCCGGCCACAGCAGAATCCTCTGAGTAGGAATTCCTGTTCAATCCTCTGAGTAGGAATGCCTGTTCACTCTCGACTGAGGGAGAGCAGGAAGAGGGAGAAGGGGAAAGGAAAGGCAATGTGCTGGGGGCTGTGCTAAGGGACAGATGTTTAGCTCTCGGGGTCACCATGCAGCCCTCAGAGCTCTAATCTCGTAGGAACTCTGAAGTCTCCTAAACGCCATTGTCAGAGGGCTTTTCTCAGAAAAGAGGAAAGAGGTGGAAGAGCCCCCACCAGGGGGCAGAATGTGCAAAATGGCAATAACTTCCCACAGCTGTATTTTTAAGAACTTAAGCAGTCACTGCCCTAGAGAGTAGGGTCTGGTCACCAGCAACTTCAATCCCTCTTCTGCCTTTCGCCTCAGGGCTTTGTTTTTCTTTAACCATACAGAAAAGAGTGACTGTCAGGCCCACCTCATCAGCTCTACAGAGTATTCACAATGACTTCAGAAAGGCAAGGGGGCAATCCCGCCTCAAAACAGAAGGGAGAGAAAAGCCTCAGGTTTTCTAGTAGTCTGGATTAAAACAAAAGCTCCCCAGAGACATGACAAAGAGGGTCAGCTTCCTTCCTTGCTGTGGCTTCCCTCTCCCCAACCCCTAACAATTCCCCTAAAGATACCCCACCCCCAGCACAAGCAAAGGGAACAGTGTTGGGAAGTGAAGAGCACTTCTTAACTTCTGAGTTGCACAACTGGCTTCTTCATAGAATGTTGCTAAACTACCACAAGCTGTCTGGTAGGGAAGTGGGGCCAGGGTGTAAATGGAGAAACAGCAGGAGGAAGGGAAGCTTCTTGACCCTCTTACCTGCTTATAATACTTGATGAGAGGAAGAGTCGACAGAGCTACCTACCACAGATTTTGAAGAACACCTTCCTCTGGCAGCCAAGGGATGCTCAATGGGACGCTGGCCCAGCCTTTCTTTGGTCAGATATAGTAAAAAACTACTGCACATGGCCCTTGCCCATCAAATTCATGGTCTTACACCCTCTGGAAGCCTTACAACTGGACCTCTGGTGCTAGGAGGAGTAGACATGGGGTAGAACCCTTACCTTTGCCATCTGTGCCTGCACACCACTGGCTTTCAGTGCTGTGACAGCTTTCTGTGCTGCCGAAGGACTGTCAAAGTCCACAAAGCCATAGCCTGGAACAGGGAAATAGCATCACTGGGAGGTGGGGGTGTAAGAGATGCAGGAGGCCCAGGCTTGTCAGAAGACAGAGGAAGAGTTATGATCCATGTAACAGAGTAGGAGGGAGAAAGAAATTAAGAGGTTTCAAGCGGTTATCCACGTGCTCTTCAAACCCCATGAGATTTAGTCTATTTTACAGCTATGCATGCCAAGGGCGATGGAGTCCTTGTGATGTTCTTGCCTTTTTCCCTCCCCCTTAAGAAATAGGAGGTTTCAGAAACTAGGATCTTCTAATAATCCACAGCCCCCACCCCTAATGAACTCTTTCCTGTTTTCTAGCCACATCCCAGGAATGCCAGGCATGTAGGGAATATAGCCTCTCCGTTGCAGACAGCCAGCCACCTGTGAGAAGCTCCACCCCAATAGATAGTCCTTCACCTCCTTCTATTCCTCCATCCACACCCAGCGCTGCTCGAAACCTCAACAAATTCATCCTTACAAAATAATACCCACCAAGTCATTGCACCACTACCACTACTGCAAGGCATTTACAATGCTTTACTAAATAGAAACAATCTTACCTCCCATATCCACCATCCAATCTGGGGAAACAAGAAGTCCAAAACAGGCTGAGGGACTCTGTGCACGCTTCTAGCCTTGGGTCCCCAAAATAGCATTTTCAGCTCTAGCTATCTGGTCACCAAACAATCTAAATATCTATTAGTCTTTTAAGCCTGAAAACCTGAGAGATGCCTCGCCAGCACTGAGTACTAGGAGCTTTGAGCAGTAAAGATAAGAGACAGGGATGGCCTCACTCATAGGTGCTCTCCATCACCAAAGATAGCTGTTCTCTCACCTTTGCATTTGTTTGTACTCTTGTCCAGTATGGCCTTAGTGGAGACAATCTTGCCATATCTAAGGGAAAAGAAAATGCAAAGTGATAATGTGGGGGCAGGGATTTAGAACAGGACAGAGATCAAGACATCTGGATGAATCCTTTCTTCTAAACTGTTCCTACTCAAACCTTAATAAAAACAAGAAGAAATAAATTTAAAATGTCAAGCTCATCATATAAACCTATTCTCCAAAGATGCCTACAAGAAATAACATAACTGCAGTCCCTACAATACCAACATGTTTCTCTCTTCTTCCCCAATTAAGACTTAGATACTAGGTGGGAAGAGACTATTATCTTCTTGGGAAAAGAAGCCTGGTGATATCCACATAGTGTGTGTAGGGGCAGAGCTCTGGCTGGAATTCCTTGGGGACTAAATATAATCCTTAATAATCAATTACCTTCTTCTGGACAAACACCATTCCTATGAAAAACCTATAGACATTTCTCTTCTCTGCATCCCATTACCCACCTCTGATTGAAGGTTAACCTGAGCCAAACTTTTTCTTTTTATATAATTTTTTTCTTCTATATAATTTTTTCTATATAACTTTATATTTTTTTCTTCTATATAATTTCTATATATAATTTTCTTCTATATAATTTATTTTTTAATTTACATCCAAGTTAGTTAGCATATAGTGCAATAATGATTTCAGGAGGAGAATCCAGTGATTCATCACCTACATATAACACCCAGTGCTCATTCCTTAATGCCCCTTGCCCAATTAGACCATCCCCCACCCAAAACCCCTCCAGCAACAGTTTGTTCTCTATATTTAAGAGTCCCTTATGTGTTGTCCCCCTCCCTGTTTTATTATTTTTGCTTCCCTTCCCTTATGTTCATCTGTCCTATACCTCAAATTCCACACAGGAGTGAAGTCATATGATATCTGTCTTTCTCTAATTTCCATTAGCATAATACACTCTAGTTCCATCCACATTGTTGCAAATGGCAAGATTTCATTCTTTTTGATTGCCGAGTATTACTCCATCACATATATATGTATATATACATATATATGTATATATACACATATATGTATATATACACACACACACACGTACGTATATATATATATATACGTATATGTATGTGTGTGTGTATATATACATATATATATGTGTATACACACACACACACACTACATCTTTATCCATACATCAGTTGATGGACATTTAGGCTCTTTCCATAATTCGGCTATCGTTGACAGCACTGCTATAAACATTGGGGTGCATGTGCCCCTTCGAAACAGCACACCAGTATCCTTTGGATAAATATCCTTTGGGTTGTAGGGTAATTCTATTTTTAATTTTTTGAGGAACCTCCATACTACTTTCCAAAGTGGCTGCATCAGTTTGCATTCCTACCAGCAGTGCAAAACAGTTCCTTTTTCTCCACATCCTTGCCAACATTGGTGGTTGTCTGAGTTGTTCATTTTAGCCATTCTGACAGGTGTGAGATGGTATCTCATTATGGTTTTGATTTGTATTTCCCTGATAAAGAGTGATGTTGAGCATTTTTTTATGTGTCTGTTAGCCATCTGGAATAGGGGAATAATTCCAGTAGCCTTCTTTGGAATAGTGTCTATTCATGTCTTTTGCCCATTTCTTCACTGGATTATTTGTTTTTTGGGTATTGAGTTTGAGAAGTTCTTTATAGATTTTGGATACTAATCCTTTATCTGATATGTCATTTGCAAATATCCTCTCCTAGTCCGTCGGTTGCCTTTTAGTTTGGTTGACTGTTTCCTTCACTGTGCAGAAGCTTTTTATTATGATGAGGTCCCAATAGCTCATTTTTGCTTTTGTTTCCCTTGCTTCTGGAGACATGTAAAGTAAGAGGTTGCTATGGCCAAGTCAAAGAGGTTGTTGCCTGTTTCATCCTCTAGGATTCTGATGGCTTCCAGTTTTACATTTAGGTCTTTCATCCATTTTGAGTTTATTTTTGTATATAGCGTAAGAAAGTGGTCCAGGTGCAGTCTTCTGCATGTTGTTGTCCGGTTTTCCCAACACCATTTGCTGAAGAGACTGTCTTTATTCCATTGGATATTCTTTCCTGCTTTGTCAAAGATTAGTTGGGTATACATTTGTGGGTCCATTTCTGGGTTCTCTATGCTGTTCCATTGATCTAAGTGTTTTTGTGCCAGTACCATACTATCTGGATGATTACAGCTTTGTAATACATCTTAATGTCTAGAATTGTGATGCCTCCAGCTTTGGTTTTCTTTTTCAGGATTGCTTTGGCTATTCAGGGTCTTTTCTGGTTCCATACAAATTTTAGGATTGTTTGCTCTAGCTCTGTGAAGAATGCTGGTGTTATTTTGACAGAGGTTGCAATGAATATGTAGATTGCTTTGGGTAGTATCAACATTTTAACAATATTTGTTCTTCCAATCCATGAGCATGGAATGTTTTTCCATTTCCTTGTATCTTCTTCAATTTCCTTCATAAATTTTCTATAGTTTTCAGTGTATAGATTTTTCACCTCTTTGGTTAGATTTATTCCTAGGTATTTTACAGGTTTTGGTGCAATAGTAAATGGGATCGCTTCCTTGATTTCTCTTTCTGCTGCTTCATTATTGGTATATAGAAATGTAGGGGCGCCTGGGTGGCTCAGTCGGTTAAGCGTCCGACTTCGGCTCAGGTCATGATCTCATGGTCTGTGAGTTCGAGCCCTGAGCCAGGCTCTGTGCTGACAGCTCAGAGCCTGGAGCCTGTTTCGGATTCTGTGTCTCCCTCTCTCTCTGACCCTCCCCCATTCATGCCCTGTCTCTGTCTCAAAAATAAATAAATGTTAAAAAAAACTAAAAAAAAAAAAATGTAACAGATTTCTGTACATTGATTTTATACCTGCAACTTTGCTGAATTCATGGATCAGTTCTGGCAGTTTTTTGTGGAATCTTTTGGGTTTTCCACATAGACTATCATGTCATCTGCGAAGAATGAAAGTTTGCTTCTGCCTTGCCAATTTGGATGCCTTCTTTTTCTCTGTGTTGTCTGACTGCTGAAGCTAGGACTTCTAACACTATGTTGAACAACAGTGGTGAGAGGGAACATTCCTGTCGTGTTCCTGACCTTAGGGGGGAAGCTCTCAGTTTTTCCCCATTGAGGATGATATTGGTGGTAGATCTTTTGTATATATGGCTTTTATGATCTTGAGGTATGATCCTTCTATCCCTACTTTCTTGAGGGTTTTTATCAAGAAAAGATGCTGTATTTTGTCAAAAGCTTTCTCTGCATCTACTGAGAGGATCATGTGGTTCTTATTCTTTTATTAATGTGATGTGTCACACTGATTGATTTGCAGGTATTGAACCAGCCCTGCATCCCAGGGACAAATCCCACTGGATTGTGGTAAATAATTCTTTTAATGTGTTGTCGGATCCAGTTGGCTAGTATAAAACTGCTCGTTTCAAACCCTAGTTCTGACACTCTATAGCTGTATGTCATTTCGGACAAGTCATTTAACCCCTATGGGCCTCAGTCCCATCATCTGTAAAGCAGAGATAGGATTGTTGGGAATACGAAATGAGTTCATGGATATAAAGCACTAATGTCTACCATATGGTAAACGCTTGAAAGTTCTTAACTACTATTATCATCGTTACTACAGTCAAGAAACTTCAACTTTAGTGCAAATGGTTCTCTGTCCTGCTTTACTTTATTCTAAGCTTTCTATTTCTCACTGTCAAGATTTGAGCATGTTAGGGAGGTGAGTGGGTACAAAACCAGGTGCAACAGCAGTGTTAAGAAATTACCCAAAACTTGACGGTAAGGTAAAGTAAAGATCGTGTATCCTTTCAATGTCATTCTGAAACACTGTCTAAAAGGCCTACTTGAAATATATTTAATTATCTAGGGGGATGTTTCTTTTTTTGACTTACTGTTTACTACTGCTTAGGGTCCAGGCCTTGGGAAGATACATATTAACTTATAGATTTTGTCCAGTAAATGCAAATAATTTCTGTCCAGTAGAAAAGAGATCCCAAAAATTCGTTTTATATTGTCCTATAGGATATGAACCAGTTTTGTATATAACCCAGCCATCTTTTTTTTTTTTAACATTTATTTATTTTTGAGAGAGAGAGAGAGAGAGAGAGAGAGAGAGAGAGTGTGTGTGTGTGTGTGTGTAAACCGAGAAGGGGCAGAGACAGAGACACAGAATCCGAAGCAGGCTCCAGGCTCTGAGCTGTCAGCACAGAGCCCGACAAGGGGCTCAAACCCACGAACCATGAAATCATGACCTGAGCCAAAGTCCGGCACTTAACTGACTGAGCCATGCAGGTGCCCCCAATCTTTTTTTTTTTTTTTTTTTTTTTTTTAAGTAGGCTTCATACCATGAGCCCAATGCAGGGCTTGAACTCACAACCCTGAGATCAAGACCTGAACTGAGATAAAGAGTTGAATGCTTAACCAACTGAGCCACCCAGGCACCCCTATAACCTAGGAATCTTATTCCAACATTATTTCTTCAGTATCTATAAATACTCAGTCCCTCAAATGTCTTTGAATCCATTTTACCATCCCGCTGGCTCCCTTATTAATGAATGAAATAAATCTTGGGCATGTGTTTACCTATATTTGTATGAGAATCATGTTTTTCAACTTTTTGAAAATTATACTTTTGCAGCAGTCATGTGGAGTCCCCCAAACTCAGCAGTGGAGTATCCCAGGTCAGGATCATATTAGAAGTGTTCCACTAGAAAGACATCTCTACATCCCACCCTAGGAGGGTGAAAATATTAAAGATACAGAACAGAAATCACTAATAGAATCAGAAGTATAGGATTTACCTGAAAACAGCTGGCAGGGACTGAATTTGAGACCAATACCCCAAACAAGTGTTTTGTTTTTCACTTCCCCTCTCATCCCTAAAGAACATATGATGACTGATATATTTGTTTTGTTCCTGGGCAGGCTCTCACTGACTTTTTTGGTGGGGCTTCTGTCATCCAATGGATTAGACAGAAAAAGCCAAGTAATGCCTTGGAGGCTGGGAAAAGAACACATCAAAATGGGGGTGGGGATGAATATGATGATCCTAGCCCTTCAGGACTACATATTTGGATTCTTTCCCAAACTTAGGCAAGGGAAGGGATGCAGGAGACTGGCCAGAGGGCATACAGGTTGCTATCCCTACCAAGGCCCCAAGGTGGAGCTGGCTGTGGGTCTGAGCAGGTTGAGACCTAGAGCTCAGAGTCTGCACTGCAGTTGGCAACAGACGGTTTGGGTTTGCTTCCTCCTTGGAAGAAGAAGCCCCTCCAAGAGAACAAGGATTCCAGTCCTACACTCCATGCCTTTTCTTCCTGCCCACCAGGGTTTAGGATCCAAGAATATTCACTTCCCCTACAACCCAGAGAGAGATAACTAGGAAGAAAACAGGAAGTCCTTCTATGCATGGGAAACACCCTTCCTAGAAAGGTTTAACTCCCAGCTTGCAGCATCCAGCAGGGCTCCAGCCACCTGTTCTTCTCATCCTCCTTTTTGTCATAACTCATCTAGCACCTATTCTTTCCCTGCCTCATTTCTACGTCTCTATAGTCTCCTATTGAGCTCCTCGGTTCCATCCTATATGATGACCCTGACTATTCTCATCCCTTCTTCAGACACGGCCAAAGATAAGGCAACTGTTGTGAAGGGCAAAGTGAAAGTCTAAAAGTATTGTGAAGTAGAAGTGAGTTTTGTCTGTCTTGTGAAATGAGAAGATTTTTGTAGCATATTATGTTTCGTGCAAGAAACCCAGCATGCAGAAATCAAGGAATTAGACTGATATGATAGCCTTTTCCTTCACAAACCAACATTTCTGCCAATTCCCATTCCCCTCAAAAATTACTAGTCCTAGACTAAGTTCCCTCACTCTCATTTAAAATACCTTTCGGGGCTCCTGGGTGGCTCAGTTGGTTAAGCGCTGGACTTTGGCTCAGGTCATGATCTCACGGATCGTGGGTTCGACCCCGCATCAGACTCTGTGCTGACAGCTCAGAGCCTGGAGCCTGCTTCAGATTCTGTCTCCCTCCCTCTCTCTCTGCCCCTTCTCACCTCACACTCTCTCTCTCTCTCTCAAAAAAATAAACGTTAAAAAAATTTTTTTTAATAAAATACCTTTTAACCAAGGTAATCTGAGGTAAACAAAACAAAACAAAAAAACAGTTTCATACATACATCTAGCCTTTAGAGACTGAATCTATGCAACCTGGTACCAGCAAAAATCCCTATGTTTGCATGGACCAAACCTCAGAAGAGTAAAGGATTTATAAAGCATCTCTGATGCCTCTCACACCTATATTTTGGGGGCAGAATGTTCTGCCTTTCCAGGATTTGGAACAGCTGGAACTTTACACATACTGTTGTGGGATTTTGAATTAGTTTAACCACTTCAGAAAATTATTTAGTAGTATCTACAAAAGCTGAACAAATGTATATCCTATGACTCAGCAATTTTACTCCTAGGTATAAACCCAACACATACATACATCAAAACACATGTACAAGTTCATGGCAGCACTATTCATATAGATAATAGTCACAAACTGGAAACAACTCAAATGCCCAGCAACAGTAGAATGGGCAAATAAACTATGGTGTATTCCTATGATGGAATTCTATAAAGCAATAAGAATAAACAAAGTTTTATTATAATTCATATGAATGAATTTCACAAATAACACTGAACAAAAGAAGCCAGACATAAAAGGGCATGTATGCTGTATCATTGTTTATATGAAGTTCAAACAAACCACACCAATCAATCATTTAGAATACAGACAGTAGAGGGGTGCTTGGGTGACTCAGTCGGTTAAGTGTCTGACTCGGCTCAGGTCATGATCTCACGGGTTCGTGGGAATGAGCTCCACATTGGGCTCTGTGTTGACAGCATGGAGCCTGCCTGGGATTCTCTCTCTCCCCTCTCTCTACCCCTCCCCCACTTCCCCGTTCTCTCTCTCTCTCAAAATAAATAAGTTAAAAAAAAAACAGATCTTTGTTTGGAGGTGGGGGGATAGAAACTGACAAGTGGGCTTCCAAAGAGTGGGTAATGTTCTTTTCCTTTTCATTTTTTTTTCTAAGTACACTCCATACCCCACGTGGGGCTTGAACTCATGACCCCAAGATCATGAGTCAGATGCTTTACTGACTGAGTCACCCAGGCACCCCAGTAATGTTCTTCTTGATCTGGTTACAAGGGACTGTTGGGAGGATACGTTTACCTTATGAAAAGTCACTGCTGTATATACACTTATGATTTGTGTACTTTATGTGTGTTATATGTCGATAAAAGTTTTTTTTTGTAATGGTAATTACACAGTCTAAGGTTCCTATTTCTATTTCTTTCTACCATTCCCTACCCAAAATCAATTTTCCTCTTCCCCACCCCCAGACTTCTTCCTATAACCATTCCCCCAAATGTATCATTTGAAACACGTATTTTTCTGCCAAATGGAACGGAGTTCGCATCTTTGGACTCTTGCAAATTTTTCTAGCATTCTTAACTGGGCTAATTCCATTGTAGTTATCTCTACCTCATGACTCAAATCCACTCTGAAGAACCCCAAAGGTCTTTAGGGGGGTATATGCAGAGTGTCAGCCTCTTTCTCCACCGTCTCCTTTATCCACTAATTTGAGAGCTCCTCTGGTTCACTGAGATTACTTCTATCAGCAGAAACTCTCCTAAATGTACAATTCAATTGGTTACTTCCACTTTCTTCTATCCCTACTGCACTGCCAACTCTCACTGCCTTCTAATCAGTATCTTTAGCGATACTGAGCATTTCAATTTGAGGTGTAAGGATGGGAATCTTTCCACAAAGACCATCAGTTCTGAGTACACAGTCACCTATTAGGCTTCAAAGGCCAGCCCTATGCTGGCTTTCCTCAGAGAAACGCAAGAAGGTTTCATGTATTAATAACAGGTAGAATTTAAGAGGGGCTGCTAAGAAATCTTGTGACAAATAATACTGCATTTCAGGACAAGAGTATTTGTCAAGAAGTCAGTATCGCCAAACCTGTACTGTCCCTCGAAGCCTACCCACATGTCTGCCAACTTACGACTGGCACAATTTGACAAGGTCTTGGTCAGTAGTGCCTGGTTGCAATCCCCGGATATAGAGGTTGGTTTTGCTCAGCTGGTCATTTCCACTGCTCCCACTGTTGCTGTTAGGGGTACTGCTGCTTGGACTAGGTGGTGCCATTTGCTGAGACAGTGACACATATGGCTGCAGAGAGACATGAGCAACAGAAGATCAGAAGATTATACATTTAAATACTGGAGAGTGAGGAAGATCCTGGCTCCTTGCAAAGAATGATTCCAAACTTTAATAGCAATTAACTCAATAGAGAATTAAAAAACAAAAACAAAACAGAAACTAAAAAAATTCCTCTCTGCCATTCTGCCATAGAATAAGAAAATACATAACTGTCTTACCTATGTTTCAGGAATAATGAGAGGCCAAAATAAGCTTGTTAAAGGTTTTAAAAAAACGCTCTCTCTCTCAAAAATAAACAAACATTAGGGGCGCCTGGGTGGCGCAGTCGGTTAAGCGTCTGACTTCAGCCAGGTCACGATCTCACAGTCCGTGAGTTGGAGCCCCGCGTCAGGCTCTGGGCTGATGGCTCAGAGCCTGGAGCCTGCTTCCGATTCTGTGTCTCCCTCTCTCTCTGCCCCTCCCCCGTTCATACTCTGTCTCTCTCTGTCCCAAAAATAAATAAAGGTTGAAAAAAAAAAATTAAAAAAAAAAATAAACATTAAAAAAAAAAAACTGAATGACATTGAAATCTCCACTGAATTACTAGATCTGCAATAATAATCAAATACTAGTGGGTCTAGGCCCCCTCTATTATCATTACTATCATAATCGCACCACCCGATTTAAAGTACAGTCAAGGGACACCTGGGTGGCACAGTAGGTTAAGCCTCCGACTTTGGCTCAGGTCATGATCTCACAGTTTGCGAGTTCGAGCCCTGTGTCGGGCTCTGTGCTGACAGCTTGGAGCCTGAAGCCTGCTTCAGATTGTCTTCCTCTCTCTCTGCCCCTCCCCTGCTCATACTCTGTCTCTCTCAAAAATAAACATTAAAAAAAATTAAGTACAGTTAAGAAAACTGTGACCTATGTTCTAATCATGGCTGTTCCAGAGTTCAGAGCAAGATCACTACTGGAGATCATTCAATAATATAGGTCTTTCCTCATCTCTAAGGAATTACTATTGTTTATCCTTAGGCTGAGAAAGCCAAAGGATATTCTATGCCTGGGGTGATGATGATGATGATAATGATGACACCAACAAAACAGAAAAAGCAACTCTAGTGTCATAAGACCATGTGCCAAGCACTGGCACAGGAGACCATTTGCCTGAGTTTATCCCCTGTCCCAATATGAGAGAATATGTCTAACAGAAAGTATCAAGGATGCCAGTACTGTCCAGAAAAGAACACAAGGGTTACTAAGTAAAGAAATAAACTTAAATTATTGATTTGCTACATAGCTATAAACCTTGGTTTTAATACTAAGGTCTTAGCTATAATTTAAAAATATGGCTTAGTCAATAATAAACTTGCTGTAGGGCAGAAAAATTCCTAGGAAAAAAGATATGGCTAAGAAAAGAAAAAAAAAAAAAACAAAAACCAAAAACCAGAAAACGAAAAATGAAAAAAAAAAAACAAACCACGACTTTTGTCTCTTGATATTTTTATGCAGCTTCTGAAATTGCCACATAGGTTTGGCTCCAAAGAGAAATGGTATACATATTTATTTATTCATTTTGAAAGGTAAGACAATCCAAGAGAAGGAAAAAAAAACAAACAAACAGCTGAGAAAGCCCCTAAGAATAGCTTATCTGGCTTCCCAAAACAAAATGATTTGGAAAGACATAATAACTAATGTAAACTAAAAATCCATGTTTACCTATGTAAGAGAGAAAAAGGTAGTATTTAGAAAGGTCCAGAGAACTGAGATATTCTTATCAGTAAGGGAAGGACAGGGCAGTTTTATCTCTCTTGACTCCTACTGAAATAGTTCTCTGAGGTCACTGGTCATCTGTCAGGCCTAACCTACAAAGTGAAGCGCAAGATATTTCTTCCCTTAATCCTGCTGAACTATGGAAGATTTCATAACTCAAAGCAGACCATAAATCTTAAAGCTAATTTGCTTTTTATAGTTATGCCCTAAAACATGTCATTTTCATGTGAGGATAAAATTCAGGGTTATTAGAGAAACTAAAATGGCTGACTTGTTAGTATACCAGGTTCTCTTCAGGAAGGGATATAAATCTACTATAGTATCTATCAATTAACTTCATCCTTTTGAATGACATGTAATTTTGTTTTGCTCCCAGAAGAAAAAGAAAGATAGGTAAGTTTTTACTTATAACCTTGGTTTGTATTCATGTAGGTGAAACTCCTGAAGTCATTTGGATTAGTGGCCATGTAGAACATGATTCAGAACTGTACTATGCCCTATAATTCCAATGTTAATGTGAATTCTTTAAACAAAGTCCCTCACATTTGGCCTAGAATCTTAGATACATGAGATTATTAAACATGCCTTCAGAGGAATTGCCTGGGTGGCTCCATTGGTTGAGCGACCAATTCTTGATCTCGGCTCAGGTCATGATCCCAGGGTTGCAGGATCAAGCCCCCTTGGTGGGCTCTGCACTGAGTGTGCAGCCTGCTTGAGATTCTCTCCCTCTGCCACTCCCCCGCTGGTATGCCCATGAACGCTCACACGCTCTCTCAAAAAATAAATTAAAAAAAATTATTTCTCTCCTTTTCCCCCACTCATTCTAAAAAACAAAACAGAACAAAAAAAAGCCTTCAGAAATAAAGGATGCTAGCATATTATGTATCAAAGAAATACATATAGTTACCCAGTAAAAGAGTACCAGTACCAGTCTTCTTAAGAAGGAGATTTAATTCTGGAAGTGAATAGGAAAGATTATGGGTTTACCGCAGAGAAATGGTATCACATATCTCAATTGCATTATCAAAGCTGGTTCGGAGAGGTGGGAGACCAGAGATGATGAGAGTATTTAGACAATATTAGACATGAAGGAAGGTGAGGAAAAAGCCTAATTAAATGATTGGTAAGGTGGTATTTAAAAGGATGTGCAGAGAACGCTGTGATATATCCCATTAAGAATATCTAAGGATAGGGGCGCCTGGGTGGCTCAGTCAGTTAAGCGGCCGACTTCGGCTCAGGTCATGATTTTGCGGTCCGTGAGTTTGAGCCCCGCGTCGGGCTCTGTGCTGACAGCTCAGAGCCTGGACCCTGTTTCAGATTCTGTGTCTCCCTCTCTCTGGCCCTCCCCTGTTCATGCTCTGTCTCTTTCTGTCTCAAAAATAAATAAACGTTAAAAAAAAAAAAAAAAAAAGAATATCTAGGGATAAATACCTGGGGAAGGGCTGTTAGGATGGGGAAACAGAAATGTATAACTCCTTCAACTTCAACCAGGGGAAAAAAAAAAACAAAAAATCAAACTCCCCTCTTCCTGTAGCATGAATTTTATGTTTCCGGTCTTGCTGAGTTATAGGAAACTGGGAGACAAGACAGTGTTCTTCCTTTGGCTCTCTTTCAAGAGATCATAATGATAGAGATGATACGATGCCTACTTACCAATCACGAAGTTTTGTTGTTTTTTTTTACGTAGGCTCCATGCCCAACATGGGGCTTGAACTCATGACCTGAGATCAAGAGCAGCCTGCTGTACCAACTGAGCCAGCCAGCTATCCCCCAATCACTAAGTTTTCATCAGATCTTTAAGAGAATGATCCAGTCAGATAAGATACTTGTTAACTAAATTATAATGTAAGTAAAACACTGTCTTTATTCTGAAAATTAGATTCTGATCAAGCATTCATTTTGCATTTCAAAAAATTTGAAAATCCTATATCCATTCATTTGCCATCAAGGTTATCCCCATCCGGGGCCCTTAACATTATTATCATCAAAGCAGGAGAAAACCTCATCCCAGCTAGCTAAGTTCCTAGCACACAGTATACAGGGCATGGACATTAACTAAAAGGAGTAAAACAAACTTAGGGCATTTGCTAATTGTGTTACCTTTTTTTGTTTTTTAATGTTTACTTATTTATTTTTGAGACAGAGAGCGAGCACAAGCAGGGGAGGGGCAGGGAGAGAGAGGGAGACAAAGAACACAAAGCAGGCTCCAGGCTCTGAGCTGTCAGCACAGAGCCCGATGTGGGGCTCAAACTCAGGAACCATGAGAGATCATGACCTAAGCTAAAGTCAGTTGCTTAACCGACTGAGCCACCCAGGTGCCTCTAATTGTGTATCATTTTAATAAACCCCTAAAGAATCTCAAAGATATACAATCCACTAGCCTGACATCAAAATTCCTATTGCAACTTGAATATGGATAAGACATGTCCCTGGAGCCAATGATCTCTAGGACATATGATATATCTAAACATTTTTTTTAAGTTTATTTATCTATTTTGAGACAGAGCAAGTGTGAGTGGGGGAGAGGCAGAGAGAGAGAATCCCAAGCAGGCTCTGCACTGCCAGGGTGGCGCCTGATGCAGGGCTCGAACCCACGAACCGTGAGATTGTGACATAAGCCAAAATCAAGTCAGATGCTTAACTGACTGAGTGCCCTTATATCTGAACATTTTTGTCTAAAATACATTATTTCCTTGATTCCATCATAGTATCTCCTAATAAAAGAAAGTTGACTTTCCCTGAGAAATAACAGACCTCCTGATAATCATTCATGAGACCCTTTGCACTATTTGAGTCAGTCAATAAATATCTGAATACCAACTATGTGCAAGCCCTATGTGATGCAGTGGGGACTCACAAATGCGTAAGAGTAGGAGTGAAATATTTCATAATAAATTTAAACACACACCCACAAGGAGCCATTAAGGAATTCACAAACCAGAGCTTACAATCTAGATAACTAGCAGAATGACATACGTGTGCTAACGGGGATCCAAGCAAAATTGTACAAGAGTATGAAAGAAAAAACAGTTAAATCCTGAGGAAAAAGTTTCTCAAAAAAGATGGTTGTATCTTTACTTTTTAATGTTTATTTAGCTTTGAGAAAGACATTACATGCATGAACTGGGGAGGGACACAGAGAGAGGGAGACAGAGAATCCCAAGCAGGCTCCAAGCGGTCAGCACAGAGCCTGTTGCAGGGCTTCAACCCACGAACCATGAGATCATGACCTCAGCCAAAACCAAGACCCAGATGCTCAA